CCAATTAAAGAGAACAGAAAATATATCAGTTTCATTCACATTTAAAAACTACATTCTTATGTATTACAATGCATTATCTTGCAGAATCCCTTTTCTTTAATCTTTGTCTACCCATTGTCTCTATGTCTCCTGACTAAACAATTTCTTATTATTTTTGTTCGGTTTCCACATCTCCTTATTTTCTGCTTCTTTCTCTTTTTTAAAAAAATAAACTTTATTAATTTTACAATTAAAACAGACAACATGTACATAAATGAAAAAGAAAAAAGAACAAAAAAAGAAAAGTAGAAAAAAGGATCAGAAAACAGTTAAAAACTCTTTTGTCCTCAACAGTTTGTAGGACCTTATTTTCAACCTTATCTTAAACCCTCTATACAATTGATCCTTGTGCGAATATATATATATATATATATATATATATATATATATATATATATATATACCCGAACAAAGCTGAATACCATATATATATACATATACATACATACATACATACATACACATACATACATACATACATACATATATTTCTTAAGTTTTCATGGGTACTTACATGTATGGTATTCAGCTTTGTTCGGGTATTTTCCCACGTCATTATAGTTGTGCTTTTAAAGTTGTAGCAACGTTTCGGCAGAATCTCATCTGCCATCATCAGGCTTCTATACACATATACATATACATATCTACTACAATTATAACATATCTTCTTTTGCCCTTTATTGTTTAATCGATCTTTGTTCTATCCATTCGTACCAGCAGTTCCAGCTGTCATAGTACATTGATGTATCTTTTCCTTTTAATGCCAAAGTTAATTTGTCCATCTCTGCAAAATTTGCTATTTTTTGAATAATCAATTCCTCTGATAGAATATGAGGTTGCTTCCAACATTGTGCAAAGGGCAGTCTGGCCTCTGTCAAAATATGTACTATTGTATACTTCACTTTTTTTGAGATTTGTTTATTAAAGATCCCTAATAGAAAGAGTTCTGGTTTAAATTCGATCTGTTCTATTGTCATTTTCTCCAACCATTTTCTAATTTTCTGCCAATATTTTTGTGCCTTTATAAAAGACACCACATATGGAAGAAAGTTCCCTCCTTTTTTAAACATTTCCAGCAATTCGGTCTCATGTTGGGCTGCATTTTCGCTAATCTCGAAGTGGGAAGGTGCCATCTGTAAAACATCTTATAGGCATTTTCCTTGTAGGCTGCCGATTTTGTGATTTTATTATTTCTACTCCAGAGCTTCTCCCATTCTATTAAAGTGATACTACGTCCTATAGTCCTACTCCAGGCTATCATATTCCCTTTGACAATCTCTTCCTCTAATTCTGCCTCTAGTAGGTAATTAGAAAATTTTGTTATATTTTTTTGTCTGGGCCTAATAGAATTTTGTCTAGTTGCTGAAGTTTATTATTGATTCCAAATTCTTTCTTATCCTGTTTGTATCTACTCTGTACTTGAAGATATGCCCATCTATCGATTTGTACTCCCTGGTCCTGAAGATCTTGCCACAATTTCAAATTTCCTTGCACATCCAATAAGACCTTGTATTTAATCATCTTAATAATATCCAAATTATTTGGGTGGATCATTGCTTCCATTGTTGAAATCCAGATTGGTATCTTTAAATAATGTTTTCTCCTTATTTTCTTCCAGTTAGTCAATAATGAATCTCTGGTTAAATGTCTGTGAAAGTATTTCTGGGTGGTTTTCCCGATATCCCATAGAAAAGCATGCCACCCCCTCTGTAGGTTGTGGCCTTCTAAAACTAATATTCTCTTGTTTGTTAAGTTCACCCATTCCTTCAGCCATACTAAGGAGGCTTCACTGTAGTACAACTCCCAATTTGGAAGGGCCATCCCTCCCCTGCTCTTCATATCTTGCGTTGCCTTTAAATTTATCCTCAGTTTTTTCCTTTGACAAATGAATTTTGTGATTATTTTATTAAGTTCTTCAAAATACCTTTTGTGTACTTTAATTGGTATCGTCTGAACTATATAAAGAAATTTTGGAAGAATAGATATTTTAATTGTTGCAATCCTGCCTAATAGTGAAAGTTGCAGTTTACCCCATGTTTCTAAATCTTTCTTTACCTGTTGCAATAGTTTGTTGTAATTATTTTCCTTTAGTGTTTTGCAATGTGCTGTCAGCCATATTAACTTTCTTTATCACTTGAAATCCCATGACCTTTTCTAATTCTAACTTCTGTTTTCTGATTAGATTTTTAGTCATTAATTTCATTTTCTTTCTATTAATTTTTAATCCTGCAACTACTCCAAATTGTTCTAACTCATTCATCAGTTTCTGTCTTCTTTCAACTGGCTCTTCAATAAAAAAAAACATGTCATCTGCAAACGCTTGCAGCTTATCTTCTTCTTTCTTAACCTTTAATCCTTTTATGTGTGGATTCTGTCTAATATATGTTAGTAATGTTTCCAACGATAATATGAATAGCAGGGGTGAGAGTGGGCAGCTCTGTCTGACTCCTTTCTCTATTTTTATTGGGTGGGTATATTCCCCATTTATCGTAATGTTCGCCTGTTGTGTGTTGTAGATAGTGGTTATAATATTTTCAAATTTGGTGCCTAAGTTCATGTTATAAATTCTTTGGATTAAAAATTGCCAATTCAAGTTATCGAAGGCCTTCTGTGCATCTAAAAACATAAAGGCTATTTGTTTCTCGGGGTGGGCTTCATAAAATTCCAGAACATCTAATACTATTCTTAAATTATTCCTGATTTGTCTGTTAGGGAGAAATCCATTTTGGTTTTGGTGTATCAGGTCATTCAAAATTCTTTTTAATCTGTTTGCAATAATAGAAGCGAATATTTTATAGTCCGTATTTAACAAGGAAATTGGCCTGTAGTTTTGTATATATGGGGAGTCTAAGTCTTCCTTTAGGATCAGCGAAATCAATGCCCCCCCCCATGAGTCCGGCATTCTGGCTGCCAATAGGACATCAGAACTTCCACCATAAGGGGTCCTATTAGTTCTCCTATTGCCTTGTATAGTTCCCCTGGGATCCCATCTGGTCCCGGAGATTTAGTATTTTTCTGATTCTCTATTGCTGTTTTCAATTCAGACCAAGTAATATCTTTGTTTAATAATTCTTTCATCTCTTCCCCAATTACTTTATCCTTCATTTTATCTAGATAGTTTCCTATCCTATCCTCATTGACCTCTTCCTTTTTATATAAATCTTCAAAATACTTATGGGCAATTTCTTTTTTCTGTTCTACCCTTCCATATTATCTGAATTGGATTGTGATCTGCCCATTCATTGGGTAGAATTTCAATCCCTTTTATTTCATTTGCTATTTTCCCATTCATCCATGCCATGTCAATTCGTGTCCATATTTGGTGGGGGTTTGAATAGAATGTAAATTGTTTTTTCTCAGGGTTTAACCTTCTCCATATATCAATTTAACTCCCTCATCATTTCCATACATACACTGCTCAAAAAAATAAAGGGAACACAAAAATAAGACATCCTAGATCTGAATAAATGAAATATTCTTATTAAATACTTTGTTCATTACATAGTTGAATGTGCGGACAACAAAATCACACAAAAGTTATCAATGGAAATCAAATTTAGCAACCCATGGAGGTCTGGATTTGGAGTTACACTCAAAATTAAAGTGGAAAAAAAACACTACAGGCTGATCCAACTTTGATGTAATGACCTTAAAACAAGTCAAAATGAGGCTCAGTAGTGTGTGTGACCTCCACGTGCCTATATGACCTCCCTACAACGCCTGGGCATGCTCCTGATGAGGTGGCGGATGGTCTCCTGAGGGATCTCCTCCCACACCTGGACTAAAGCATCCCCCAACTCCTGGACAGTCTGTGGTGCAATGTGGCATTGGTGGATGGAGCGAGACATGATGTCTCAGATGTGCTCAATTGGATTCAAGTCTGGGGAAAGGGTGGGCCAGTCCAAAGCATCAATGCCTTCGTCTTGCAGGAACTGCTGACACACTCCAGCCACATGAGGTCTAGCATTGTCTTGCATTAGGAGGAACCCAGGGCCAATCGCACCAGCATATGGTCTCACAAGGGGTCTGAGGATCTCATCTTGGTACCTAATGGCAGTCAGGCTACCTCTGGTGAGCAAATGGAGGGCTGTGCGGCCCCCTAAAGAAATGCCACCCCACACCATTACTGACCCACTGCCATACAAGTCATGCTGGAGGATGTTGCAGGCAGCAGAACATTCTCCATGGCGTCTCCAGACCCTGTCACATCTGTCACATGTGCTCAGTGTGAACCTGCTTTCATCTGTGAAGAGCACAGGGTGCCAGTGGCAAATTTGCCAATCTTGGTGTTCTCTGGCAAATGCCAAATGTCTTGCACAGAGTTGGGCTGTAAACACAACCCCCACCTGTGGATGTCGGGTCCTCACACCACGCTCATAGAGTCTGTTTCTGACCATTTGAGCAGCCACATGTACATTTGTGGCCCGCTGGAGGTCATTTTGCAGGGCTCTGGCAGTGCTCCTGTCCCTCCTTGCACAAAGGTGGAGGTAGAGGTCCTGATGCTGGGTTGTTGCCCTCCTACAGCCTCCTCCATGTCTCCTGATGTACTGGCCTGTCTCCTGGTAGCGCTTCCATGCTCTGGACACTACGCTGACAGACACAGCAAACCTTCTTGCCACAGATTGCATTGATGTGCCATCCTGGATGAGCTGCACTACCTGAGCCACTTGTGTGGGTTGTAGACTCCGTCTCATGCTACCACTAGAGTGAAAGCACCGCCAGCATTCAAAAGTGACCAAACCATCAGCCAGAAAGCATAGGAACTGAGAAGTGGTCTGTGGTCACCACCTGCAGAACCACTCCTTTATTGGAGATGTCTTGCTAACTGCCTATGCTTTCCACCTATTGTCTATTCCATTTGCACAACAGCATGTGAAATTGATTGTTAATCAGCGTTGCTACCTAAGTGGACAGTTTGATTTCACAGAAGTGTGATTGACTTGGAGTTACATTGTGTTGTTTAAGTGTTCCCTTTATTTTTTTGAGCAGTGTATTTTTGGAAGCTCTCTTTTTTTATGTTTCTCCCCCCCCCAATACTATGGTCTTTTTTGTAATCAGCAAGAGTCCCCTATGATACAAATATTTCTTTTTTCCAATCCTACTAATTTTTCATATAAATACTTAAAAAACTCTTTTATAAATACTTAAAAAACTCTCCATTCAGGGCATAAATTACTACTAAAAGGATTGGAATAGCATTAATCCAGATCTGCAAAACCAGAGTTCTTCCATCAGGATCCAACCATATTAACTCTGCTTTCATGTCCTCTTTCACATACACTGCTATCCCTTTCTTTTTCCCCGCATCTGCCGATGTGGTAAATAGCTTCCCTAATTTGGGGCATTCTAAATATTTTTTATTTGATTTCCTCATATGGGTTTCTTGTAGGCATACTATGTCAGCGTTTTGCTTAATTAATTTGGCTATTTTCCTTTTTCTTTTTATCATAGAGTTTAGACCATTTATGTTAATTGACAATATTTTCCTTTCTTCTTCCATTACTTAATTTTGTTTTGCTCTTTGTCTTTGTGACTGCTCCAGTTTCTCTTTGTGCCTTTCTCTTTCTTGTTGTTACTGGATGATTTTTCTTATTTCTTGTTTTTCTTCTTTATTTTTGATTGGTCTTATTCTTCTTGAAAGTTTAAGTCTAATTAATTCTCGCTCTTTGCCTTGTAGTTACTCCAAGTTCTACTTATGGATGATACTGTGCCTTGCTTTCTTCTTTTTCTTCTTGTTATTGCTGGTTGTTTTTCAAGTTTTCTGGGGTCTTCTCTCCCTTCTTTTGATGCTTTTGGTCTTCTTGGGATTCTGGTTCTGATTCATCTTTGCTGGTCTGCTCTTCAGAGCCCACCAGTCTTTCATAGAAATCTTGGGCTTTTTCGAAAGAGTCTACTTTAATTTTTCTCCCCCCCCCCCAAGTAATTAACATCCCTTCCAGGACAAGCCATTTAAACATAATACCTTTTCGATTTAATTGGGCTGCCAGGGATTTGTAATCTCATCTTGCTTCTCTAACCCTTCTTGAGATTTGTTTAACAACTGAGATTTCTTTGTCCTTATACTTAATTGTTTCATCTCTCAATATTTTATATATAATGTCCTGGACCTTTCTTCTTGCAAAACGTACATGCACTTCTCTTGGGCGTTTGTGTCGTCTTGCATAATTAGTACTTACTCTGTAGACTTCATCCAACTCTTTCAAAATTTCATCTTTGTCCCTTTCCAGTACCTCTGCCAAGATTTCCGCCATCACCTGATCTAAGTCTTCTTCTTTTGATTCCACTATATTTTGGAATCTTAGATATGTTGCAGCCTTGTCCATTTCTAAATACACCAGGGAATCTTCCATTTCCTTACTCACAGTCTTTAAGTGTTCACCCACTCTTTCCAATTTCTTTTCGGTTTGTTCTGTCCTTTTCTCTACTTCTTTTATTATCAGTTTGTTTTTCTCCAGTGCTTGCTGTAATGTTCCAATTTTTTTCATATAATTTAGAAATATCTATATTCATTTCTGGTTTTAATTTCCCCATCTCTTTTAGTTCATTTATATCTGCTCTCGTCTCTATGATTTTTGAGCATTATTTCTTGTAGCTTTGACATAGAATCTTGTAGAGTAAGCAGTGTCGAATGGATATTGGCATTTGTAATAGAAGGCTGTTTCTCCAATGTTAATGATTCCTCAATTGTCTTCTGTGACGTCGGTGAGGGTATTGCCGTCGGAGTTGTTAATGTCATCTTCTTTCCAACTTTGAGCGCTGTAGTAGTTATGGAAGTCATTTCTCCTAAGAATTGTTTCTGTTTTTGTATTATATTAATTACGTTAAATAATATATCGCAAAGTTGACCAATAAGCTAAATTGACCAATAAACTAATTAACTAATTTGTTTATCTATCTCTTAATTTCCTAAATTCTTTACTATATTCAATAAACTTGTAAGAGCAAAAGCTATCCAATATAATCTCAAATTAAAATTCTAAATTAAATATCTGCATATGTAAAATCTATGCTTATTTCTCAATATTATGAAATCCAGGTAGATACCTTCTCCTATCTCTCTAATTATACACAAATCTTATCTATTGTATATACCGTTCCAAATATGTATAAAGATATATATCTATATATATTATGAGACAATATTATATTATAGTATTATAAAGAATTCATCAATGCACATAGAAAAATTTAGAAATAGATTAATCTGAAAAAGTCAATTGATTATTTAAAGTAATAAACAAGATACATTCAAATATTAATATGTAGTTAATCAATTATAACTATAAATGTAGTAAATATTATAAATATTAAATTATTATTGTTATCAATATCAATGTTACTTGACAAGTTGCTGATAAATCAGCTAGGTCCAGCAGAATACCTCACAATTACATTCATCAAATGTCTCTCCTTCTTCAGTCAATACATAGGTAAAAGATAATAAAATATAGAATAGTTGATCCAAATATCCAAAATTAAAGAAAGGGGAATGTCTTAAATTAATTGTCCATCTCTGAAGCTAGATGATTTCATTTCCTCGCGTTCAGGCAAAAAAAAAAAATTGCTGAGTAACATTTACAGCTTCCTAATATTTCAATGCACTCAGCAGTACACACTCCTCCTTCCATCTTGGGTTTCAAGCAAATAGTTTTTCCAAAATTCTCCACTAAAGTACTCCCACAGCCAGCAACCCCAGTTCCATGTCCAGAGAGACTTAAATCAGTTATTAATATCATCTATAACCACAAGTCTTTAATCTACTTCAAAGGTTCATGTCTTCTCCTGATCTCAAAAGTAGCCAGCCCAATCCTTCCAAGCAAAAAATAATCCAAAAGCACCCCAAACCTTCATGTGTCAAACTTTTTTCTCCAACTGGCAACAATATAGCAAACCTCTCCGATCCAAGCCTCCTTCTCCTCTAAGTCGCAAGTGTTAATCTTCACTTCCTCTTTTCGAGCCCTTTCACTTTCAAACACTTTTGTGTTTTCTCTTCTTCGCCGCTTCTTTCCAGGCTCCAATCAGCTTGTTGCTTCTCAACAAATCTCTTCACCATTCAACAATTGAACACTCTCGCAAGATCTCTGCGCAAATCTCTTCATTAGCTGCCACAGGCTGTCACTCACTCTCTTCCTTTCGCAGGTGACAGTTCGGACTATGGGATGGCCAATGCAAGCCAGCAATCTCTTGCTGGTTAGCCTCTGCAGGGTTTCTCTTCATTGCGATGAGGGGTTGCCCTCCCCTCTTGCTGCAGCCTGAGTCTTCCCACACCTGCATAGTTCTCTACGGGAACAGTGCACCCCAAGGGGTTGCGCCAAACAGCAAAAAGGATTTAGAAGGACCGGAGATGGGCTTCTATGCCTCTGTTCGTCCTCACATCATCACCGGAATCCTTCTGGTTCTTTCTCTTATTACATCTTTTTCCTTTCATTTTTTCCTTCCTTTTCTTATTTTAAGTTTTATCCCCCTCCCCCTTTAAGACTTTCTTCTATAATTCCCTGTTCTGCTGTTTCCTTTTTCTTTGTTTGGCTTTCAAGACATTTCCCTTTTTAATTGTCTTCTCAAGCCTCCAAGTTTTAATTCTCTTTCTTTTTTCCCTTTGTTTTGGTATTTATTGCTCCCTTTGTTCATTGAAGCTGGCTTCTTTTTCTTTGATCAGCTCCTCTCCTTCTGGCACTCCTTGTTGTACTTCTTTCTCCAGAATCGCCATTTCTAATAATTGTAAGGTGATACAGCACAAGTTCTTTCATTTAATATGAAATGCTTCTATTTTCCTTCATAACATTGGAACATTTTACTCCTTCCACCCATAATACTGTTTTCCCTACATATAATTTCACAATATATCCTTGGGCCTAGATTTATTTCTTGTATAGCAATTTTATAAACATTCTCTTACAGCATGTTTACATTTTTAATGCAGATTGCTGTCACTGGGTTGAGGTGTGTATTTTTTAAAAATAACCTTGTAGTCCCTTAATTCGGAGTAGTCTGGGCGACTTGATGTGATGATCTAGTGGATAGATCATCCACTAGATAGTTAACAATAACTATTTCTACATTTAGTAATTATACGTAGCTAAGTTTACTCCTTCCATCCATAGTATTGTACACATAATTTCATAATATATCTTTATAGATTTATAATTACATTTAGTAATTTTTGGTAGCAAATTACTAATTGACATAGCATTTTAATATTTTTAGACTGATCAAGGAATTAAAAACCTTTCTGTCAAAGACGCAGAAAGACTGGCTTCTGAAGATCCGGATTATGGCCTGCGTGATCTTTACAATGCAATTGCTAATGGAAACTTCCCCTCTTGGACTTTCTATATTCAAGTTATGACATTTGAACAAGCTGAGACATTTCCATTTAATCCTTTTGATGTTACAAAGGTGAGTATATCTTTGTGACCTTTTCTCCAGTGTACAGCAAAAAGTAGAAAAGGTACATTTCTATATCTTGGAAGCCGAAGCTGAATATAGCAAAACATCTTGGTCATATTTTCTAGGTTTGGCCTCACAAAGATTATCCTCTCATTCCTGTGGGAAGAATTGTCTTAAACCAAAATCCCAACAATTATTTTGCTGAAGTGGAACAATTGGCCTTTGACCCAAGTAACATGCCTCCAGGAATTGAACCTAGCCCTGATAAAATGTTACAGGTAATCAGAAAATAAATAAATGAAAATATGTATGTATACCTATTCATTTCATTGTGAGACTAGACAACTCAGTCTCTCAATTAGATAACCATTACAATAATGAAAACATGTTAACACCAATCGGTTGGTATTAGAAGTTTTTCCTTTGTCCTATGCTTTTCAATTTTTTGTTGTGTTGGATTTTTTGTTCTTGCCTCTGAATATTAAAACAATTGGAAAAAAGAAGGTTATTTGCACCTTAAAGCAGAGGTCTCCAAACTTGGCAACTTTAAGACTTGTGGATTTCAACTGCCAGAATTCTCCAGCATGGCTGGCTGGAGAATTCTGGGAGTTGAAGTTCACAAGTCTTAAAATTGCCAAGTTTGGGGACCCCTGACTTAAGCACTAGCACAGCTTGACACAAGAAAGTCGTTTGGTTACGAGACCCCCATTCTTGATATAGTTAATGAGATGAAAAATTTTTAAATTTATTATTTAATTACACATTAATTTGAGGACTTCTTAGATTATAATTTATTTAAGAAAGAAAAGAAAGAGACTGAGGGATACTAAAGAAAGCATCAAAGTCATTGTTCTAATTTTGTTGCCACTTTCTGCTATATTAAACAGATGCCTTTGATCTGAATCTACAGGTTTGTTTCTGGGCCATGTTCTTGGGCTCTCTGAAATCAAAACTTTCCCCTCCTGTAGAGTAGGACCAGCAATAGTCTTTCAAAAGCAGTGATGATACAGGCAGTGATGAGAAAAACCTATGGAAAAGCTGTCCGCTTCTTCACTTTCACCCTATGATATTTTTTTTAGGGTCGTCTTTTCTCATATCGAGATACTCACGGACATCGTCTGGGACCCAACTACCTTCAAATTCCTGTAAATTGTCCATATCGAACTAGGGTGGCCAATTACCAGAGAGATGGACTTATGTGCATTTCTGATAACCAGGGTAAATATGAAAATAACATTTGGGAGCTAGGTTATGCCAGTAATTTAGAATAACCTTTGCAAGTGCTTTTTCTTCATTTACATTGACATCTCGGTTTAACTACTTAAACTATTTAAGCTGATAGTTGTTTTCTTCATTTTTATTTTATCTTATTAATTTCTTCCTGATTTTTATTATGTGGATATGTAAAAAAGTTTAGATTGGGATGTAGTGTTATACCTTATTCAATATGTCCAGCAGCCAAACTCCCTGCACTGCACATACATGCATAGCAATAGCAATACCTATAGCACTTAGACTTGTATACTGTCCCATTGTGCTTTACAGCACTCTCTGAGCAGTTTTACAGAGTCAGCATATTATCCCCCACAATCTGGGTCCTCATTTTTCTGGCTTCGGAAGGATGGTAGGCTGAGTCAACCTTGAGCTGATCAGGATCAAACTCCAGACTGTGGGCAGAGTTTGCCTGTAATACTCCATACTAACCACTGCACCACTTATACACAAAGAACATAAGTATTGCCATGGCCCTATCGGAGTCTGGTTCAGAGAAGGAATTGGAATTGGGACTGTTTGACAGGGATGGCACATCTCTCTTGGCATATTTGGAAAGGCCAGGGGCTGAGGACAATGTTGTCCCAGCTCCTCAAGCATTGGGGAATGTGGTTGACCAGACGGAGAGCTGCGTGCCTACATGGACACAAGGAGATCGGCTACTGACAGGCAGTGATGCTGATAGGCAGCAGATCTCCTCTGATGAGGAACATCTGCCACCTCCACTCGATCCAAGGGTAAGGAGAATGGAGTGTAGGCAAGTCCAGAGAAGGACTGCAAGGTTACTTGGGAGGCGGTTACCCACCTTACCTCACAAGGAACATCTGGAGTGGAGTAACTGAAGGAGAAGCTGTGGGGAGTTTGCTTTGACTTATACTCCCAGGCTTTGACTTGTGCCTGTTGTGGTTTGCCTTATTTGGACCTAGCCCTTTTTTTGTCTTGGACTTAGTCCTTCTTTTGTAGACTGCTTTTGGCCTTTGCTTTACTGTGCCTTTGGAACTGCTTCTTGCCTTGGACTTTTTCTTTGCCCTGAGGACTGCCATTGTCTTGTGCCTGGACTCTGCCTTGTGAACTGGACTTGGAACCCTGGACCATGTCCTGTGAGCATGCTCCTACTCTGTGGGCTTTATTTATACTATAGGGACTGTTGTTTGGGAGACTGAGGGTGGATGCCTTCAGGGAAGTATGGGGCTGGAGCTTTACTGGTCATTGGAGGGCCGTTTGCTGTAACATTTGTTGAAAGAAATAAAGGAATCTCTAGAGCAGGGGTGTCAAACTCGAGTCATTGAGGGTCGCATCAGGGGGGCCAAGGGTGAGTGTGGCCAGGGTGGGTGTGGCCAGCTTGATGTCACTGATGTTGGGGGTACCTATGGCCCTAGTGGTCTGCCAGTGAAAACAGGCTTCCAAGCTCCATTTTCGGCTGGGATGGCCTCCTGCAGTCCTCTGCCAGTGAAAACAGAGCCCCCACAAACTCTGTTTTCACTGGCTCTGCGGGCTAGACTTCCACTGTTTCTAGGGCAGCCCTGTGGGCCGGATCTAAGCACCCTGCAGGCTGGATCTGGTCCCTGGGCCTTGAGTTTGACACCCCTGCTCTAGAAGCGTGCTTTGCCTTGACCACCAGGATTATTGTATGTATGTATCTATGTATGTATGTATGTATGTATGTATGTATGTATGTATGTATGTATGTATACATACACACACACACACATTTTATGTACACACATAAAATTTTATGTACACACAAATAACAGTTAATGGAAAGCTAGTATGCTGCAAAGAAAACATAGCTCTTTTTTCCCAACACTGCTTTTACACTTTATATAGGCTCTTGAAACATGTATTGTGATCATACTTAAGACAACCATTTTGTCAAATTTATGTTATGCTCTCAAAATTTCAAATGTGTTTATTGTTTCAAGAAGGTTAGGGATTTCTGAAGTATACTAAAATGTAGATCATTTGGTTAATATTATGTGAACTTCTGAATCTGATTTCTGCACTCTGCTAAATGGAGTCCTCTCAGCAGGTGGCAGCAGCTTGCAACTTTTCCTACTGGATTCCCCATTGACTTTCTGGAGAAACCAGCAGAGGATTCCAAAGGGTGATCACATGATTGCAGGGGTTTGGCAACTATTTGTTAGAGTGAACAGGTTGCCAGGCACCCAGATTGACATAACAGGGCAGTGGGGATGGCACAACATTTTACAGTGGCTGAAAGTCTTTGTGGGCGATAAAACATCAGTTCTGAATCTGTTGTAATTTTGGACAGATGTTCAACAGCCAGTGATAAGTTGGTTGACTACCTATCAAAGCAGTAACTTTTTTTAAAAAAAGAAAGTTCTGAGATGTCAAGCTTATCCTAGAGTGTATAAGAATGTGATCTCATGCAAAATTATTCAAAAATTACAAAAGGAAAAGCTTTTGGCAGGTCCAGGGTTGGCAGGTCCAGGGTTGGTACAGCAGTGACCCAAAATAGGTGGATCTCTCTCTCTCTCTCTCTCTCCTTCCCCCCCTCCCTCCCTCCCTCCACATGTGAGCAGACCCACACATATAGACACATGCACTTTTTGGGGGGTTGAGTGGGTGGACACTGAAGTTTACAAAGTTTAGGCTTACACAGCAGTTATTATGTGCTTTTCATCTCAACTGTTATATAACTGAAATGAAGTTGTATATCAAAGGCAGAGAATTTCAGAAGTGGTTTCAGGGCTTAAGCATCCCCACCTCTGATTTAGCACAATATCTGAGCTGTCCATTGATGTTTACCCCACAAATGATTCTAAAACGAACCAAAAGTTAGCATACGGACCTTCCCAAACAGGAAACCCTGGATGACCAGAGAAGTCCAGACTCTGATCAGGGCCCGTGACCTGGCTTTCAGAGCAGGTGACACCTCACAGTACAGCACTGCCAGAGCTGAGATGAGAAGGGGCATCAAACATGCTAAGGAGATGTATAGTAGGAAGGTCGAGGGCCACTTTACTGACAGTGACCCATGGCAGATGTGGAGGGGGATACAGGCCTGACCCACTATAAAGGCCAGGGCCCAACAAACAGCGAGAGCAGTAGCACTCTGGCAGAGGAGCTAAACAGCTTTTTTCCATGCTTTGAGACCACCAAGAACCTGGATATACTGCCTCACGAGGACCACAACGCTACACCTCTTTCTCTTCAGGTGCATGAGATGAAAAAAACACTGAGAGCAGTAAATCCCAGGAAAGCTGCTGGGCCTGATGGCATTCCTGGTGCAGTAGTTAAAGCGTATGCTGACCAGTTGGCAGAAATACTTACAGAGCTGTTCAATCTATCCTTAACACATGCCATCATCCCACAATGCCTGAAGGCTGCAACCATCATCCCCATTCCCCAAAAAACAAATATGAACACTCTCAATGACTACAGGTCCATAGCGTTAACAAGCTCCATTATGAAGGTTTTTGAGCGACTAGTTTCACAGCACATCAGAGGCTGCCTCCCAACCCTCCTTTGAACAACATCAGTTTGCTTATAGAGCAAACTGATCTACAGAGGATGCTGTGGCCATCACACTTCATAGAGCGCTGAGTCATCTGGAGAACAAACAGAGCTATGTGAGGATGCTCTTTGTGGACTACAGCTCTGCGTTTAACACTAACATCCGAGATATACTAGTAACCAAACTGTATAATCTGCAGAAACCCCAACTTTTTGACAAACAGACCACAGTCTGTTAGACTTGGCCCCCCACCTTTCTTCCACTATTACACTCAGTACTGGTTCCCCCCAGGGTTGTGTCTTGAGCCCCCTGCTATATGCCTTGTACACCTTTGACTGCTCACCAAGCCATGCAACAAACATCATCATAAAGTTTGTGGATGACACGACCGTGACTGGTCTCATCTCCAGACAGATGAGACGGCATATAGGACAGAAGTAGAGAACCTGTAGATCTGGTGTTCACAGAAAAATCTGTCACTGAATGTCCATAAAACCAAAGAACTGATTATGGACTTCAGGAAACATGGACAGGACCACACCCCACTCAACATCAACGGAGAATGAGTGGAAACTGTCCCTACGATCAGATTCCTTGGCATCCATATTTCAGCTGATATCTCCTGGTCCCCTAATACCAAGGCCATAGTGAAGAAGGCTCAGCAGTGGCTGCACTTCCTGAGGGTTCTCAGGAAGAACAATCTGGATAAGAAGCTGTTGCTGGCTTTCTATAAAGCCTCTGTGGAGAGCACTCTGACATATTGTCTGGGTGTGTGGTATGCAGGCTCCACAGTTGAGGACAGGAAAACTGTACAGAAGGTGATAAACACAGCTCAAAAGATCATTGGTTGCCCTCTGCCCTCCCTGGAAGACTTAGCCAGGTCCCGCTGCCAAAGCAGAATCAAGGCCATCATAGAAGACTCCTCACACCCTGGCAATTATCTTTATGACCTGCTGCCGTCTGGACGGCATTTTAGGTCAATAAAATCCCACACCACTAGACTAACAAATAGTTTCTTTCCCTGGGCCATCCGAACTGCAAATAAACACGAAGTCACTACCTTATTAAGATGTGAAAAGATGTGAAATCTTAATACCCCATTCACTTGTATAATAACAGTACAATCCATCTCATGTATTATACTCAGCTAAGCGTTACAGTCAGTGTTGGATGTATATTTTGTGTATATTCGTAGATATTGTACTCTCTAATTGCAAATGGAGACGTGGGTACTCTATTTTTCTTATCTTCATTTTTAAGTGGTTTGGTTTTATTGTATTGCGAACAGTTGCTGGGGTGCATCCACAGTTTCATTGTACTTGTACAATGACAATAAAGTTCTTCTAATTCTAATTTTAAATTCATTATTTTTATTATTACTGAAGCAACTTAATACACCCACAACCCTATTACAATATTTACAATACAGTCATTACAGTGTGGTTGTGAGTCAATTAACATTAGAAATATATATGTAGGGTCAATTCACCTTCAACCTTTTTTTTCTTACTGCTGTCAAGATAATTACAGGAATAAAGACTCAAAGCCCTAAATAGTTTTTTGCTTGTTTGTTTTGGGAATGGAAGAAGCTAAGAATAGACTTAGCCTGAAGGAATTCAGTTCTCTGAAAAGGGATTGTAGAAATGCTATTCACTTGGAAAAACACATTTTTGGCTGTAAGACATAATGATGTACTTGCAGAACTGATACACTGATACACTGTCCTGCTTCTAATATATTGAAAATTTTTTTCTTTAGGTGGTGCCCCAAACTATTATCCAAATAGTTTTACTGGCCCCGAGGAACAACCTGCTTTGAAGGAGAGCTGTGTATTTATCTCAGGCGATGTACAACGTTTTAATAGTTCAGTTGAGGATAACGCCTCTCAAGTAAATAAACTAGAAATGCCCTGTTACAAGTAGTCCTCAACTTACAACTGTTCATTTAGTTACTTTTGACCGTTTTGCATACTTATAACTGTTGCAGCACCACCACAATAATGTAATCAACATTCGGATGCTTGGCAACCGGTGGGTCGTGTGATCAACTGCAGTGTCCCTGGGTCATGTGATCAACTTTTGTGACCTTTGGACAAGCCAAGTCAATGGGGAAGCCAGATTCCCTTAACAACTGTCTTCCTAACTTAACAACTACAGTGATTCATTTAACAAATATGGTAAGAAAGGTCATAAAATGGGACAAAACTCACTTAACAACTGTCTCACTTAGCAACATAAATTTTGGGCTCAACTGTGGTCGTGAATTGAGGACTACCTGTGTTTTATTTTGGAAATGAACTGTCTTTGTAAGCACACTTTTTCTTCTTCTCTTTCTTTATTAGCAAGGTAAATTTATCTTCAACATTCCCTTTGTACGTCTTCAGGCACCTAATTTAAAACAAAAAATTGAGAGCTCTTGCTTGATATAATTCTATCCTCAAGTAATTAAGTTTTGGTTTCCTGTTTGCTCCTACTTTCTGTTACTCGATTTTCTCCATAAGTGAAGTGAGACATAAAAGTGAGATTTTTCAGTCTCTTGGAGTCAGTCCAGCAAACTATTTTCCTGGTTTGGCTAAAATTGTTATAAGGTGCCAGGCCTCTGTACGACAGATTATTCAAAAATATTCCCCTCACCCTTTCTATAAAAAAATATTTGGAAGCAATCGTTGACTTACAAACGCAATTCGGACTGGATTTACAGTCATAAGTCAAGGCACTTTCATGAGTGGATCTGATTTTACAACATTTTGGTGGCAGTTGTTAAGAAAATCACTGGTCATTAAATGCATCCACACCTGTTAAATGAACCCATTTTTTAAAATGAATGTTTTTTTGCCAGTAACAAATGTCACAAATCACAACCATGAGATGATGTAACCAGCTTTAAAGCAAGATGGTTGCCAAGATCCTAAAATACAGTCGTGTGATCGTAGTGGAAATGCAGTATGATGCTTCCTGATAGCCAAAAATGCTTTACGGGCTCAAAATACCGGTTCTATGCCTGATATAATTTCAAAAGATTAAGTGACCGATTGTACATTGACTACAATTTATTAGAGAATATCAATACAATATCAATACAATCAATTAGAGAATATCAGAGGATGTAAGAGGTTAAGCTGTATGCAGATGTGGTCTTGAGAGCTGCTTTGGCTAAAGAGGCAGTCAGTTGTCAGTGCATTATGTATAGCATATGAGTGTGTGTGTGTGTGTGTGTGTGTGTGGTACAAAGAAGGTAGGACTTTTCACATTGTAAACAGCAGAGAGAATTCCACGATAATTGTAAATAGCCACCAGTTCATTCTCATTTATTTAATAGCTGAGGTTGATACTGTTCATCGGGAATTGTAGAAGATTTCTATTAGGTCTACAGAAGGTCTATGTATAACTATTGCTTTCACTATTTATTGAAAGGTACGGGACTTCTTTGTCAAAGTATTGAGTGAGGAAGAGCGCATGAGGCTTTGTGAGAACATTGCCAACCATCTTAAGAACACTCAGCTTTTCATCCAGAAGAGAGCTGTAAGTAACAATGTAATACATCACAAGGTTGTGCAGAGAATCCAAGTTGAGAGGCTTTAGATTTTGGAGCATGCAGGATACACAGATATTATCTGTTGATAACCCCTTAAATCAACTGTGTCTTTTCTTGGTCCCACACATCTGCTTGTGTACAATTCTGAATAAAAATGCTTTTGGTAGTCTTTGCTTAATGACCATTCATTTAATTATTGTTCAAAGTTGTACGGTGCAGAAAAAAAAAAGATATATGACCTGTCTTCGGACTTATGACATCTCAGCATCCCTTGGAACCACATGACCATGATCTGGGACCTTGGCAGGTGCAGCATCGTGCAGTCACATGATTACCAGTGGTGGGGTTCTACCAGTTTCCCTACTGGTTTGGTGATCGCGCACTTCATGCACACGCATGCGCACCTAATGCGCATGCCGGTTTCCAAACACCAACTGAGGCTCTGCCGTGCTGATCTGCTGAGAGGATAAAGAGCAGAAAAGCACAGGGATGGATGGGAGGGCTGTTTTCCTATTCTTCTCAGCTGATTGTCGGAACTTTTTTTTTACTACTGGTTCGGCTGAACCGGTTGCATTTCTCTACTGGTGATCATCATTTGCAATCTTCTCAGAGGTGTTCTGACAAACAGAGTCAACAGAGAAGCTGGCAGGAGGTCACAAGTCCCGGCTGTGTGATGTCTTGCTTAATGACCATGGATGATTTGCTGAATAACCATGGGAAAAAATTGGGTGCAATCACATGATAACTCAGTTAACATCTGCATTGTTTAATGATGGATTTTCTGGTCCCACTATTGTCATAAGTCAAGGACACTCTCTCTTTCACTCTGTCTCTGTCTCTGTCTCTATCTATTCACGCATACATATGCGTATGTGTGTATGTATAGTATTAGTTAACTATATATAACTATATATAAGTGATAACTAAATCTCTTTCTTCAATTTAGTGTTATGGATTATGGATGTATGCATGCTCTACAGTATCATGTTTCTATAAATATGGATAGCTGCTGAATTTGTTTTCTTTTAACTATACATATTTCTTGTACTCTGTTAGATATTGTGTGTTCCAGAAGAAAAACAATCCAAAACACAGCTAATGAAACTTAAAAAAAAATACTTGGAAAGCATGTTGTTGAAAAATCCATCTTGATTTTTATGAAATCCAGTGTGCTTCTTCCACTCAAGTCTTGTTATGTCATGGGTCAGGCAATCCATGGGTAGCCCAGAGAATGACTTTGATTTGCCAGTTTCTTTTTCTAGAAAAATTTGTGGTAGTGAACCTTATGCTTGATGATTTTACCAAACTGTAAAGATCAGTGGTAGGATTCAAACTGTTTTACTATCAGTTCTGTGGGCGTGGCTTGGTGGGCATCACAGAGGAAGGATACTGCAAAACCCCCATTCCCTCCCCATCCCACTAACCTGCTTTCCAGCTCTGTTCTCCTGTGCAGGGCAACAAAAGAAGACCCAGCCAATCAGCTGGACTCGGGAGGCAGAGAATAGATGGGGGCAGGGCCAGTCAGAGGTGGTATTTGCCGGTTCTCCGAACTACTCAAATTTCCACTACCGGTTCTCCAGAACTGGTCAGAACCTGCTGAATATCCCTCTGGTAAAGATCCTTGATTAGTAAACTGCAGTTAATCAGCCAGTGACCTTTTAAAAGGCGAGCCTTCTTGTCCTGGGGAAGGAGAATACAAAGGTCCACCTGAAAAAGTGCGCTGAAGAATTTACTGATTTTCTGGAAGACAAAATTTAACAGCTTTATTCCCAATTAGATGCCGGTGTGGTTGCTGGTCCTGGTGGGGACACCTGAGGCAGATTCTTACCCTGGGAACAGCTTAACCTGTTGCTCCTGAGGAAGTGCACAGGAACCTAGGGAGTATGAGTGCAATTATCTGTATTTCAGATCCATGTTCCTCCTAGCTTGTGGAAGTGAACAACCAGTTAAATATGAGCCAGCAGTGTGTGGAGGCAGCCAAAAAAGCCACCACAATCTTAAGTTGCATTAACAGAGGGATACAATCAAGATCAAATGAGGTACTAATACCACTCTATAAAGCCTTAGTAAGACCACACCTAGAGAAGTGCATCCAGTTTTGGTCCTCACACTATAAAAAAGATGTTGATACTCCAGAAAAAGTGCAGAGAAGAGCAACCAGGATGATTAGGGGACTGGAGAACGTATATAGAACTGTTACAGGAACTGGGCATGGCTAGTCTAGTGAAGAGAAGGACCAGGGGAGACATGATAGCAGTGTTCCAATATTTGAGGGGCTACCACAGAGGAAGGGGTCAAGCTATTTTCCAAAGCACCCCAAGGCCAGGCAAGGAGTAATGGATGGAAACTCTTTTTAAGAAGTCATCATTAAATTCCACTCTATTGGATAATTTCCGACCTGTCTCCAAGCATCCCTTTTCAGGAAAGGCTGTTGAGCAGCTCTAGAGGTTCCTGGATGAAAGGGATTATATAGATCCTTTCCAATCAGGGTTTGGGCCTGGATATGGAATGGAAATGGCATTGGTCATGTTTTTTGATGATCTCTGGTGGGAGAGGAATAGGCATAATACATCCATCCTTGCTCCATTTGGCCTTTTGGTGGCCTTTGATACTATCCACCACGATATCTTTCTGGATAGCTTCAGTAGTAGTTGCTTTAAAATTGCAATCCTAAATTTCCTTCTTCTTAAGGTGCATTGTTCAGTTCTCTTCTGAATAATCTTTACAATTGTTCTCTTGGAGCCTTTTCAGTATTTTAATTTGAAAACTAATAAAAATATAAATTGTCAATTTCCAGTCCAGATTAACTTTAGTTTTGAATATATTTCATTTGGGTAGAAAAATAAAGAGCTTATGATAAAGCATTTTAAAATTAGATTTAGATATGTTTAGTCTATGCATATTTAGTCATGTAGTATGGCTGTAATATAATTATTATTATTCATTATCCATTAATGATTATTATTCATTATCTTCTTTACTACCTGCTATTATTAGAATGATGATGATGAAGATGATGATGACAGACAATTCTGTTTTTTGGCATTTACACTGAGCATTTCTGCACCAGAGACAATTCCTTGCATGTCTAATCATACTGGTCAAATAATGTATTCTAATTCTAATTCTATTCTATTCTATATAAATAGACAAGTAGTATTTTTCTTGTAAAAATAATTTTCAGCTTTTTCAGCTGAAAAATAATACTTTTGCCATATCAGTAGTTGAAGTAAGTACACTCCTGATGTGTTGAACTTTCAGATCTCTGTGCCATAGCAATTGACTTGTCCTCATCAGTAATTACAAAAGAATAGGAATTACAAAAGAGACAAATGATCTCAACTTCTCTTTGCCGAATTAGGTGAAAAACTTTACTGATGTTCATCCCGATTATGGTGCAGGGATTCAAACCTATCTGGATAAACACAATGCTGAAGGAAAAAGAAAGGTAAGAAAACATTATCAGTTCAGCTTGCTGTAGAAAGTAAGTCAAGATTAAGCAATTTGAAAATAGATTAAGGCAGAGATGTAACAAATGGTCGTGGGTAGATTTAGAGGAGGAATGAGAAGAACTTGAAAAACTCTATGTTCTTCTATATAACTTGCAATATCTGGAATTCAATTTTATCAGGGGATATGAAAATAGTCAATTTCAGTGGAATTAAATAGTATCTAAATATTAGAATCACATGGCTTTTGTCATAATACAGATAGTGAGCAAAAAGTACAAAGGAACAGTTAAAAAAAAGAATCTGTTAGTTGATTATGGCAAACAAATTACAAATTAATGCTATCGGTCTCCTGTAAGGAGAATATCTATAAAATGTTTTATCAGTGGCATCTTCCACCAGCGAGATTAGCCAGAATGTTCCCCAACCTGTCACCCAAATGTGGGAAGTGCAACCCACTGCCAGGGAACATATTTTCACATGTGGTGGACCTGTCCCCAAGTACGAAAGTACTGGCTCTAAATTTGAGCATGGTTAGAGGAATTAACAAAACAAAAAAATCAAATTCATACCAGAAATCTTTCTGTTAGGTATGTTAGAACTGACATGGTTAGATAAGAAACACCAACATCTAATACTACACATTATAACTGCTGCAAGAATCTCTCTAGCTCAAAACTGGAAACTAACTACGATACCCACAGACTTAGCGGTGATTAATAAGATACATCAATGCGCAGAAATGATTAGACTAACTATGTTATTAAAAAACAGGGAAGAAGAATATTTTACAATATGGAATATATGGTATAACTGGTTAAAAAAGAAGTGGAGTAAAAATGCTTTGTAAAAAAGACCAATGAAATCGCAAAGAAGAATGTGATATATGACAAATATGTATATATATGTAAAGTAATGTAGATAGATAAGTATTGCATTTTAATAATATAACAAGTAAAGAATTAGTAAATTAGTTACAGACACACTTATGGCAAATGAACTTAATTGTTACTAAAGGATATGTACACTGCTATGACATTGTTGTAAAATGTGAGAACTTGTTTCTCTTATTTAAATTCTTTGAAACTTTGAATAAATAAATAAAAAGAATCAGTTAGTATTTCATGTATATAAATGTATATAATATAAAGAAATGTATGCATATATAACTATCTTTAGAATTAATTATGTATTTATATTAATACATGCTAATTCTTTTTTTAATTATGGTTTCTAGGACTAAGTTCATACGTAATACACAAACTTCATTCGCTGGAAAGGAGAAGCCTTATCTGTAAACAACATGATTTGTGATTAGCAGTCACATTAGAAACGTTTATCTGAAATCCCTCAATCTGGAAAATGAGCCATGAAAAGCTTTACATGTAATGGAATTGCCAGCTGTGCTATTAACTCTGTTATTCTGTTAACTGCAGTACACAACCAAGTGTTATTCTCACTTTAAAAACAACTTGAATTCACCATATAGATTGTTACCCTGGCAATACTTTTGAAATACATTAGAATAATTTTTGGTTTATTTTTGTGTATTAACATGTTTTATGATTGTAAGCTTGCATTTATTTAGCAAAATAAATTTATTCAGCAAAAGAGCATACACTACTATGATTGATATCTTTTATTGGTAGTGCTGGCTTTCGTATAGCAGTATAACAATCTTTTTCAAATCTCCATGTAGTAAATTAAAAACTATTGTAACATATTTGAAGGAGAATTATGTTTAAATGTGAAACTTACTTGTGCTATAAAAGCTTTATATATAATGGTATTCTTATCTATTAGCAGCAATACAAAAGCATTCCAATTTGAACATCTTTTTTTTTAAAAAAACTATATAGATAATTTAGGCTGAATCTGTGTTGACAATAACTCTGAAATGGCATGGTTGAAATATTAGTGTAACAATTTTGTGTTATTTTTGCATAATATCAAAACATGATTTTTATTCATGTAACAAATCTCCATTTATAAAACCCTAGTAAGACCACAGCTGGAATATGGCAACCAATTTTGGTCACCACATTACAAAAAAGATGTTAAGACTTTGGAAAACGTTCAGAGAAGAGCAACTAAGACAGAGGTCTCTAAACTTGGCAACTTTAAGCTATGCTGGCTGGAGAATTCTGGGAGATGAAGTCCACAAGACTTAAAGTTGCCAAGTTTGAGGACCCTTCAACTAAGATGATCAAAGGCCTGGAGACTAAAACAGATGAAGAATGGCTGCAGGATTTGGGTTTGACTAGTCTAAAGAAAAGAAGAATTAGGGGTGACATGATAGCAGTATCCCAGTACTTGAGAGGCTGCCACAAAGAAGACGGGGTCAAATTATTCTCCAAAGCACTGGAGGGCAGGACAAGAAACAATGGTTGACAACTAATCAAAGAGAGAAGCAACCTGGAATTAAGGAGAAACTTTCTAACAGTGAAAACAATTAACCAGTAGAACTTGTGTCCAGAAATTATGGGCGTTCCATCACTGAAGTTTTTAAAGAAGAGTCTAGAGTCTATTATATGAAATAGTATAGGGTTAGGGTTGAGCAGGGGCTGGACTAGAAGACCTTCAAGGTCCCTTCCAACTCATTCATTCTTCATTTATTCACTGAAAGAATATATATACATACACACACACATACATACTGTATACACACACACATGCACACACACACATCTGTTATTGGTAATGCTGACATGTTATTTTTTTTACTTCATTAATCAAATGTATATAGCTACCCATCTCACCAAAGATGACTTTGGATGTCACATCATAAATGGGTAAAACCACATTATAAAAGCCACAGATGCAAATAAATAAATAAATGCTAAATAATATAAAAACAGACATATAAACCCTAGACAAAGAGGGAGTAACATAAAGCTAGCTATCTCAGGAATGGAGCCTGTTGAGGTAATTCCCCATTAGGAGAATGAGCGCACACAGGGAGACGTAGTGAGAGTGGTGAAGAATAACATGCAAAGAGCACACAGCTACACTGTATAGTAAAATGTAGGTTTTACTTCCAGTAAATGGTTAAGCAAAGTCCAAACACAGTCCAAGTCATTCACGGTTAAAACAGTCAGTTTTCAGTCCAGGGATAATCCAATAACAAAGTCCAGTATCAAAAACAGTTCAGTAACAGACTTACATCAAATCCAAGAAGAACTATGATCAGTCAATAGTCAATAGGGAAATGCAGGAATGGCAACACTCTCAGCAACAGCAGAACAGAACAACCCAGGTTTCTGGCTCCATCTTATGGCCGTTTGAGGAACCACACCCAATTACTATTTTAGTATTCCCTTAAAGAGACAGTATTAAAATGTCTATCCTGGTTTATATATTTTCCAACTCAATTATTAGGTGACTTACATTCCTAACAGAGCCATTTCAGCAACTCTTTAATTCCCTGAGAACTCCTGACCTGATATTATAAAGGGTTTTGAGAGCTTTCTGGGATATCAAAGGGGTAGAAATAACCTTATTTTGCAGGAAAGAATGTTCCATAAAATGAAAACATGGACCATGGGAACCTCCAATGCTGATATACCTGCAGCGTGTACGTGCGTGCATGCAAGAGAGAAAGAAATATATTTATAGTTGACACCCTTCAACAGTTGTTCATTTTCAAGAAGTAAAAAAAACAAAACAGTTTTGCTAAATACATACCCTAGGACTTTCATAATAAGCATCACAATTATGTAGCAATTGAATAATCATTAGCTCAAATGAATATTAAAATGAAATGAAATATTAAATGCAGACCTATCACATCTTTATATGTGATACTGTTGAGTTGTTTGTCAACTCATAAAGCTTGTGAAACTAATAATTCTTACAGAAAACAAGCAAGAAATAGTGAAGATTTCTAACTGGGTCTGCTATAAGCAGAAAATATGTGAATTCTCAGCATACCATTATTTGTAAAGCTTTCAAATTTGTAGCTGCTGCTAATATAAGTTATCAAAACAAATTCAAAACAAAAGATGCTGTTTAGAATTAAATATTTTATATACACTCTTTATAAATTGCAGTGAACCAAAAATGCACGATTACAAAATAAGAATTTACATTTGCTCACAAACATATTTAATAAAACATCACATTTATTCTAGATCATGCATTGGGTGTTTTCCACTGCTACTTTAGACGCAACACAGTAAAGTCATGTTATATTATTTTGTAAAAAAGAACAGTTTTTTTAAAAAAATTAGGCCTATTGGCTGACTGCTAAAACTCAATTTAGATATTAACCACCATATAGTTTTGGATTGGTATTCTAGTAACTACATCCTATGAATGTCATTAAGCTGGCATATTCTGCATTTGGTTGTCAAAATAAATACAACAATAAAGTAGTTCCAGGAACAAATGGCAAAAAGATATGTGTGGAGATCAAGTAAATTAAGATAATGTGCATTTTTTGTGTGCAAGAGGGTAGAATCCAACTGTTTACCTATAATTTGGTAGTTTACAGAATCTCAGAAAAGCAGTACAAAGCTCTTATACTAAACATGTCTCCCAGTTGGTTTACTTTTTTGTGCTTCCTCCTCTCCAGATTTTTAACTGTGACATAAGCTCAGTCTCCCAGCCTTTTCTTTCTTGAAACAGGTACTTGCTCAAGTTCAAAAAGAAACCTTCCTTATAATGAAAACCAACACTTGATAACGCTTTGTTCTTGATCTTGAAAAATGAATAGTGAAGAATACTTTTAAAATATCTTTTTCACAAAGAACACTTTTAAACTATGACCCTTAGAACCTTATTTTGTAGATAATAAGCCTTCTTGCCTTAGAACCTTATTTTGTAGATAATAAGCCTTCTTCATTACAATGTTCATTGATATAAATGCCTTGAAAGTATGGATAACTATTTACTTATGTTGTAAAAGTCTAAGAATTACACTGCACACTTTTGGCCTATCAATTTTTTTTAAGCAAACAAATAAATATTCACCAGTGCAAAGACATCAGGAAGGAGCTCAAAAAGGTTAGAATTAAAAACTTTATCACACGAAGTCCTGTCCTTTTTACACAGTAACACTTATTTTAAAAGGTGGGATAGAGGTTCAATTGGAGATTGCCATCTTGATCTTATTTTTAAATGTAATTTTTCTATTTTATTTCCAAAGTTAAAATAAAATCTTGACCTTTTGATGCATGCATCCTACTGTGGGTAATGCTGGAGCAATATCAGTCTGATTGCCAAGTCTATCCTACTCTTTATTGACCAGGGAAGAAAGAGAGACTTTAATAGGAAAAAGAAATGCAGCAGAAGCCAAAATGAAATACATAAATTGAGAAAAAAATGTGAATAAAATCCTTGTGTTACTTAGAACAGTCAACTTGCTTTACTTTTGGTCTTACTGACTTGTGACATATCATGTGGGATCTGTCAGATGTTTTGATCTATACTTCCTAGAGGTTTTATTCAGAATGGGCAATAGTAAGAGAATTGTAATTCTAATAGGCATTAGATTTGATTTCCCAAAACTGAATTGAAAACAACAGCATTGCTTTTATTTTTAATGTTTGAAAAAAGTTGCATATTCTAAAGCTTTCCATATTTGTTAGGATTCACAATTGCTATGATATAAAATAATAAGACTGAGTTATAAAAGAGGGCAAGTGAGATCTATGAGGTTTGCAGAGGCCTCTCAATTTAATGATGACCATAACATCTCCAATTATTACTATCAAGCATCATCTGAGGTAGAATATATTAATTATTAATACAAATATATTGCTTCAAAAATAATTATGCATTACTTCTAATGTCAATATCAAACTTCTTAGTTAAGTAAATCTACTTAGAAGTATGTTCTGCTAAGTTCATTAGGATTTGCTAAGAGCTCATAGAGTCGCCTTCTTGTTTGGAAGACTACAGGATAAAGTTTAGTGATTTCCACAAAATAATATTTTATGACTTCTCTAATAAAGTACAGGATTTTGTTTTCAGAAAGGTATGCAAAATGTAAATTATTTAAATTATAGTATATGTATATACAATCCGTTAACTCATATGTAGGTTCATTTATTTCAAGTATTTATGTTTTATCTGTGGTAGGCTTGATATATTTCACTCCACCAAGCATCAGTGTCTGTCAGTCTGCCTGTCTGCCTGTCTGTCTCTCTCCATCCATCCATCTATCCACCCACCCACCCATCCATCCATCTACAGACAGCCAACATTACATGAACAAATAAAAGAGTGTGTGCTAAAGAATACATAGTGTGAAGGAATTACCATTAATTAAAAATATTAATAATAAAGATTGTTAAAATTACACTGTTACAATTTTGTAGAAATCTAATAAGTCAGTTAATGAACTAACCTTATTGCCAGGCAAAGAATCAGCAGTCCTAAGGAGCCAACTTAAAACATTTATTCGACTACATTCTTGATGTAGAACCTTGATTTGAGTGAGGGAGTGTAAATTATAAAGTCTTTTCATGTTTTACAGATTACAGAAGTGAACACAAAACACAGTGCTTTTCTTCCTGAAGAAACAAAAAACTTCACAAATTCTGAAGCAGAAATATTGGTTTTGGTTCCTTTCGCATGTGTAAAAGATGAATAGTAGCAGCAAATCCTTATCCAGCTGGAATCAGAACCAGTCTTTCCCAAGTCTGTGTATGGACTCAAGTGTAACCTTCATATACAGTACCACAAATAATTTTTTTTATTCATGCTGTGACAAATATTGTTGTGACTATCTGCATAACCGTACCAAAGAATGTTGCTGCAGGCAAGATGAAATTGCTTTTGAATGCAAAGGCAGAGAAGCATGAATTAGATCGATGTGCCATTTTCATTGGTTATATTTTCTGAGGCTGTTGGGAGTTCCAATTCAACTATATCTGGAAGATCACATATCCACCTTCAGATTGATACGATAGAGAAAAATGATTATTCAAGTGTGATGGTAGACATGGGCTATCTTTTACCAGCTGGGAAGCAAATCTTCGTTTGTTTTTTTACATTTGAGTACTTTTTAATATTATTTAAACACATCTTTTTAAAACACACACGTTATTTTCCATTCAAGCAATAGGAAACTGCACTGCTTTCTTGGACTCTGCTGCTGAGTATTAAAGGCACTACTTCTACAGGTCTTTGAGCCTGTAAAAAAATATTACAGAGACTCATACAGACCACATGGCAATCGGTTGCCCACCCATAAAGATGATATCAAGAAAATGCGATTCAAAATTCCATCAAACTCAAAATGGAAGTATTATAATGCTGGAATTTAGGTTTAAGTACTGATGACAAACTCTTACTGGCTTTCAGAGCAAAATTGCACCAGATTACTGGAAAGATTGAAACCATATTATGGGTGCTTATGCCATGCAGGTTATATGGTACATAAAAAGTGCAAAGGCAGTACATTTCCTGATCCAGATTGTCTATTAATGGTTATTTTATCCAGTTATTCAGAATATGTGGCCACCTCAATCTAGAAAAGCCGGCAGAGTACTTCCATCTGTTGGAGTTGACGTTCACATTGTTTATTGGATAATGAGTCCAAAGATATAGGTATCTCATGAGTTGCTTTCTTGCCATCCATGTGCATTTTTTCCAAACTTATATACTAATCTCCTGTCAACTCGTTCCAAAATTCCAGTTTTATAATAATACCTGCAAATAATAACAGTGAAATAGAAATTAGAATTTGAATGACAACTAGCTACAATGACCATTTGAATGACAACTGGCTATCAGAAGTATTTGAATGACAACTAGCTACATTTGATTTTGACAAAGAAGGGACTTTTACACGCATAGGCAAAAGTCACAGTTAATTGTCTCAGAACTTAAAATTTTCCCAGATATTCTGGAATCCAGAACCCTTTGGCCATATTTTATTTTCCTAACACTTTTCTTTTCTTTTCAGAGTAAAGTTCTCAGGTTATCGTCAAGCAAAATGGAAACACATGGATATTAAGCTTTATATATATGGGTTAGACTAGCTAGCACTCTAGTGATGAATGTGTAATTTTTTTTACTCGTTTTCTCCTTCAGGGAGATATCAGGCTGCAGCATTACCCCACCCCTAATCCTGCTCATGTTTGATCATTTTTGGAATCAGTTAACCTATATCAAATTGGACAATAATTTTTACTTTTAAAATGTGCATGTTGTCTCTCAAGACTAAGTTTTCCCAAATCAACTGACAGTAACTGAAAATGAAATGTAGGAGTAATAAATTGTTGCATCTGTTTTACAGCAAAACCAAAACAAAATTAAACCAAAAAAACCCATGAAAATTGATGCCCACCCTTACATGTTGAGCAGAGCTTTTCAGAGTTGGGTAGCTAGCGTTGAAGGTCTGTCCCTCAATAAACACTCGGGAACATGGCTGACTGACAATGCGGAAAAGTGTTTTCAATTTACAAACAAGGGAACTCAATCCCCTAAGTACTGTATATATGACACTTCTGGGTTAGTAGGAGTCTCAGAATCACCCCACACAGGAGGGATTGGCATTATTCCTTGTTAAAAAAGCAGCCATTTTGAAATTTATTTTTTAAATGGCCAATAAGTTGTGCCCTTAACTTCTTAAATTTATTTGATTATTATCTTTACTAAACTAAACTACACTCTTTTCTTTCTTCTCACAGCCTGTTACTCCTTTTTGAAGATCTGTGCCATTTTTGGCACATCTTTATTGCTAAACAATGAGGAAGAAGGTGGCCAGAGGTGAACTAAAATAAGGAATTGTGGAGTACTTTTTATTTCTTATTTTGATGGAGAAACATAAGGATTAAAAAAGTTGCAGTTTTATTTGGCCATTTTTATGAATTTGCCACCTTTATCTCATGTTGTGGGTTATAATTTGCACTTTTGGGTTGTTTGTTGTGGATTTGAACTATGATTAAGGAAAATATTTGCAGCTCTGGGTTGAAATGAAGGGTCCTTGGTGCTCTCTGAGCTTGGTTGTTGTTTTCTGCAGACATTTCATCACCCAAACTAGGTAACATCATCACTAGCATTTAGCCATTTAGCATTGATGATGTTACCTACCTATCAAGGATTCTGATTGGCCAGGAGATAACATTTGATCTGTAAAAAGCTTTAAAAAACTATTTGTTCCCTGACCACGAGAGGGAGCTAAAGTACAGAAGAAGATGAAGCAACATAGAAGGCACACTATTTAAGTCAAACTGATTGCACACATTATTTTGGAAGAGTATTTTAACAAAACAATTCACTTTATAAATCAACTACAGATAGTCTTGACTTACAACAGTTCATTTAGTGACCATCGAAGTTACAATGGCACTGAAAAATGTAACTTATGATAGTTTTTCACAGCTATGACCTTTGCACCATCCCCATGATCAAAATTCAGAGGCTTGGCAACTGATTCATATTTATGACTATTGCTATGTCCCAGGGTCATGAGATTACCTTTTGCAATCTTCTGACAAGAAAAATCAATGGGGAAGTAATACTAAATTTTTTTTGCATCCCACCACTGCTAGAAACCAAAGAAGATTGCATAAAACTATTATAACATATTCGAAATACTCAGCTCCTACCTGCACTAGATATGTCTTCTTAACTTACCGGAGTGCTCTGCTTAGCTTTTCATAAGTCATTCTGTCATTTTTTTTCCTTTGTCCCCACATCTTTGCCAGAGCATCTGATTTGATTACACGAAAGATGCCTTGGTCTCTGTCTTCCCATTCCAGGATACCCGAATTCTCTTCAGGGGACAAGAGAAGATCTCGTACAAATTCCCACAAGTGAGAACTCTGCAGACCTTCAAGAAGGAAAGCCAGTAGAAGTAAGAAAAGTTTTTCTGTGATGACTTATCAGATGTTAAGAAAATGCTATCTGGATTCTAGAGCAATGATGTACCTAAGGCGAAAGTCATGCCAGTAAAGCTGTCCAGGATAGGCTGCCACCAATGATTATGAAATAGTCAGGAAACAAAACCAATTGGATGACACTGATATCAAATACCTTTGCTTTACAATATAGGAAAGTACCATGCATCCAAACTTTGAAAGAAAAAGCCACCACACGTGCACTGCAGTTTTCATCAGTGTATAAGCACAGCAGTCATAACTAGGACCAGGGTACCCAGACAATACACGTTTTATTGAATACTTATGTAAGTTAAAGAAAAATGTATAAATAATAATAATAATAATAATAACAACAACAACAACAACAACAACAACAACTAGGACCAGGGTAGTCAATCACCAGCAATTTTTAAATCCTGTCAAATCCCACTGGATGCATTTTTTAAAGTTATCTTCCTGCCATCCCAAATGAAGACAATCGGGAGAATGAATGTTTCATCTCCTGATTGGCAAAAATGGAAGGCCTAATGTCTATGTGTCTAAAAAGAAAGAATGGCTTTAGATAACAGATAATCAGAATTGGAAGGGACTTTATAGGTAATCTAGTCCAACCCCTGCCCAAGTGGGAGACCCTATACCATTTCTGACAAATGGCAGTCCAAACTCTTCTTGAAGGTCTCAAGTGATTGGCTCTCCCACAACTTCCAAGGGCAAGCTGTTCCATTGGTTGATGGTTCTCACTGTCAGAAAGTTTCTCCTTATTTCCAGGTTAAATCTCTCCTTGTTCAGTTTCCATCCATTATTCCTTGTCTGGCCTACAGGCGCTTTAGAAAATAGATTGACCTCTTCCTCTCTGTGGCAGCCCCTCAAATATTTGAAGACTGCTATCATGTCTCCTCTGGTTCTTCTCTTCACTAGACTAGCCATGCCCAGTTCCTGTAACTGTTATTCATATGTTTTAGTATACAGTCCCCTAATCATCCTGGTTGCTCTTCTCTGTACTTTTTCTAGAGTCTCAACATTTTTTTTATAATGTGGTGAACAAAACTGGATGTAGTGTACTCTAGGTGTAGTCATACTAAGGCTTTATAGAGTGGTATTAGTACCTTACTTGATCTTGATTGTATTCCGCTGTTAATGCAATTTAGGATTGCATTAGCTTTTTTGGCTGCTGCTGCACACTGCTGGCTCATTTAGCTGGTTGTCCACTAAGACTCCAAGATCCCTCTCACAGTTACTGCTATTAAGCCTAGTTTCATCCAGTCTATATGTGTACTTTTGATTTTTCTTGCCTAATAATAAGCTGCTTTCTCTTTGAAAATAGTCTCTTGTTCTGGAAAACATATTTGGTGGTAGACTGATATAATGCTGTTTCTGAAGATGATAAGAGCCCCATCAAATAATTCTCGTTTCAAAAAATTTAATTCTACCCCCTTCCAAAATTGAGCATGATTATCTTTTTGTTGTGAAAAGGTAATATTTATTTTTCCATCCTAACTTTCCTTCCTTCCTTCCTTCCTTCCTTCCTTCCTTCCTTCCTTCCTTCCTTCCTTCCCCATTGGGTTTCACTTCTTGGTTCTCAATAGCTCTATTTATTTATTTATTTATTTATCCAATTTACTCAATTTATTTATTTATTTATTTATATTTCTAAACTACCTATCTTCCTCAGATGTTGGTTACCTATAACCGTTTGACTAATTATATTCCCATAGCACCTAGGATTCAGATAGTTTGGGCATCTCTTGTGTAGGAATTCTGCATGTCATCCTACATGGTACCAGAAAACAAACAATTAAGAAAGAACATGAACTGTGGGTGTATTTGAATCACCTTTGCTGAGATCTCACAGGTTGGGGTAGCAGGAAGTTAAGGATGATGTGGTAATCTAAGGAGCAGATACTGTCTGACCTCTTTTTACTTTCCAGACTTGCTTAAAAGTCTGATCAGAAATGCGGAGTCATCACTTGAGGTTATAATGAGGTGAGAAATCTACCAACCATAGACAAGTTTGAGGCTAAATTGCAAAATTAATTTTAAAAATAGCACATTTGACAAGCAGCATAATCCACAAAGCTCCAGGAAGGAGCTTATATGTGTGTGTGTGTGTGTGTGTGTGTGTATTAATAATTCTCTGAATTATTCTCTGAATCTACATAAGATTTTAGATATCAGAAATATACCTACTTGTTCTACTGTGACCTTGAAACTCTTGACTCTTGATGCCACCTGTTCTCAAACATGCCTTATCATTATCTGGAAGATATTTTTTTTAAAAAATAAATAAATGTAAACAATTCTGAATGAATTTCAGTGATATTTAAAGAAGTCTTCATGTTCTCTGAATGAAACTCTATAGAACACTAAACCAGTATGGGTCTGAGGCTTTTCTTTGAATTAAAAACCCAACTTCATCATAAAAGAGAATGATTAACTCCAAATTGGATAATTAGCTGAAATGGCATCAATAACCACTGAAAGTCCTCAAAAGATCATCATTGGCCAAGTGTGAATGATCTGAAAGATGATTACCAGAAAACTCAGTGTGCCCTGATATCATCTCTAAGTAAATAGTACTTCATGTTATAACATTGTTTTAGAATGATAGTCATGGAGCATAATCATCTGAGGGAAAAACTATAACCAAGGAGCATAATAAATATGAAGCAAAGGAGCTCAATGGACGAGGGCAAAATTGGCTGGTTAATCAGTGATCTTATTGCTGCTAAGTACCCAAGCTAAGTTAAACACTGACAGAGCATTGATTTCCTTGCATTTCTTGGTCTTGCAGCCTGCACATAGCCAACTGTTTAGTAAAGATACACATCTGACCTCTGGAAGACTTACACAACCTGAAACTATCAAAATGGACTTATAATTACACTGAGTTTGGAGTTGAGTCAGACTTGCATGTTACCAAATCTATGCAAATCACATGCAAGCATTGTCCCCTTTAGTTATTAAATATCATTTCCTGCTAAAAACAAATGACAAAGAGAGCAAAGAAACAAACTTTCAAAAAGCAATAACAGTAGAATTAAAAAAAAAACCTTTAAAATGCTATCAATCACTTCCCCAAAACAGTCATTCTGTGGAGAATCTCTCCAAGGAATATATTTCCTATCAGTCCAGATATTGAAGAATATCTGCTTCAATTTCACTAGGAAATACTTCTATAAGCTTCCAAAATAGGGTTATAAATCTTTTGCTTTTAGTATCAAATGTCTTGGACAATTGATGGCAGATACTTGATCAGAGGTGGTATTCAGCAGGTTCTAACCAGTTCTGGAGAACCGGTAGCAGAAATTTTGAGTAGTTCAGAGAACCGGCAAATACTACCTCTGACTGGAGATTTTACAGTATAAAATCACGCCTACCAAGCCCATGCCTTCAGACCGGTAGTAAAAAAAAGTTGATTCCCACCACTGGCCTTGATAGAGGCCGAATGTAGAAGAAAGATAAAACTAAACTAGTGCACATTTTAAAAAACGAAACAGCAGAAATTAGAAAGAGAAAGGTGACAATTATTTAGATGACATCCAATGGAAATAAGAAGAAGCAACACTTAAAATTTACAGTGAAATTTTTTCTTCCAGTGCAAATTCCATGTCTGGAGGAACAATTTTCATTAGCACCATAGTGGGGACTTAAAGGTTAAATTCCCACTTGAACAATGATAATCTATTGTTGTTAACATTTAATTTACAGTTTTTAAGTGCAAAGAATTCAAAATAGTACCTATATTTAGTCAATAGGCTTCTATGTAAACCATGTAAAAGTTTCAGCTATAAAACATTTATTACAGTAGTCTAATATGGAAAATGCGTGTCATGATACACTTAGAATCACAAAGTTCAAGGAGGATAAATCTTTGAATATAGGACAGAAAAATATCAGAAAAATGTTATTTTTACCACACTACTCATTTAATAGCAAGGCAGAATCTAACAATAAGAACAACACTGTAAACTTGTGTGGATGGCTTTTTCTTGCATTTTATTATTAATCATTAGAAAAGTCATAAGGTGCATTGATGGCAGAAACTTGCTAAAACAATTGATTATGTTATGGAATTTCCAATTAAAATCACATCTAGGTTTTTTTTTCCTGCTTTCAACTGTTTGTTTATCTTAGACTATTTGATCACAGCTTCCAAACATTGCTTAAATTCTAAGCTGTCAGGCATAGATCTTTAATTTATGAGATATAGATCTAAATTCTTTGGCATTGTGACAGTACTCTTCTCTAAAGCTCCAGTTATAGATATTTAATGTAGATATTAAAAAGCTTTGGAGAGAATTCTAAGTCTACCTGACACCATTTGGAAAAAAACTTTGCACTCTATCAAGGGAAAATATATTTATCTGAGAATACATGTCAACATTCTTTCTAATTTTTCAATGGGTAGGGGATATGGCACCATCAGAAGTATTGGGAGGTAATGAATTCAATCAGATGATCGAGGAAACACTTCCTATTTTAGTTTCCTTCAGTTTCCTTTCCTTGTAGAAATCTCCTAAAACTATCAACTGTGCTTCCATTCCAAAATCAGTTACAAGCCAAACTGAAAATGGTTAAGGAGGAATATAGTACTTAATCATACTTGATGTTGTTCTGCTACCAACTGGTCTAAAACAAAACTTCCATGCTCAGTACAAAAGCTCCAAGGCTAGATGGTTGATAGGAGGCTAGATCTTATTTAGACATGGTTTTTTATTATTATTATTATTATTATTGTTGTTGTTGTTGTTGTTGTTGTTATTGTAAAGAGCTACTGAGGCTCTACATTCTATAATGATTTTGAATAGGAATTTTGCTCTAAAAATGCAGAAGATGGCTCATGATCCAATAATTGTTTCCTCTGAAAGGAAACAAGGAAACATGGCACTAATTGTGACCAGGGGTGTCTTTGGGGCAAATTGTGATATGCGTGTCATGACATTTCCACATAAACCTGTAACTTATACAGTCATAGCATTGCACTGTGACATCATTGGGAGTATCTTGCTCTGACTGTTCTTGTGCAGCCAAAACAAATGAGAGTAAACTACTATTAAGGCTACTGCTTAGAAAATCTCTAACCTCAGTTAAAATATGTCATTTATTATAATAATTTTATTACAAACTTTTGAAGTTTTCCTTACAGTCTTTTTCAGATGACTTTGTATCTTCATTGTCCTGAAAGAAGGAGATGCCTATAAAAACAAGTAAACATGGATTACAGTGTTATTGCATGTAATACAAATGCCTTATTTCTGCACCACTGCAATATTTAAAAAACAAAAAATTCTGATGTGAACAGATTGTTCTGTGCTACAATTTGGCATTTCAATTTCTTCTTAAAAAGGGTGCAAAATGCCAACACTGAGACACACGTACTGATGCTCCAGCTTGTATTTATTAAAATCACAGCTCTAGCTGGAGATGAGATCTATGGTTCTGAGGAGAAACATGACTCAAAGCCATATGAACTACCACCCTCTCAATCTTGATTAGTCCAAGGGCTGCCCCTAGATGGGGTCAAAATAATAAAGTTTAACTTTTTAAACATTCCCCTTCTCCCATTAGCATTCCTGGTTACACCCTTGAGTCAGAATTTACTCTTTTCTACATTTCTTCCTCATTTTAATCTCATCTTGCTTTTTTGGTTTTCATTTCTCTTTCACCTGATCTTATCTCTTGGTCTAATTGTGCCAAGATTAATTTGATTTAATGAGTTTCTAATTTGTTTCAATCTTATTTTTAATCTTGGTCTTTCTTTGGATATGTCTGCTAGATTGTGATTTAGTATCATATGGTAGTCTTGCTGGCTGCCAATTCAATATTTTGCATAAGGCTGAACGTTAACACCCAAAAATAAACAGTAATATTTTGAGTAAATGTTTGGCACACTGACCACGAGTCTTGATGTTTTGGAGAATGAAGTAGAGGTATTCACCACAAATACCAGCTGCATTTAAAAAATCTTCTTGGTTCATACAACAGAGCTGGTGACCATTTATGTTGAAGTGGGAAAAGGAAATGCAATTAGCATCCAGTTTGTATTGATCACAGCAAAACTGTAGCCATTCACAGACGTTGTGTCTTGACCAGTATTCTGGATGCATAGAAGTCCAGGATGAATCACAAGCTGTCACAATATATTGACGAAAAAAAATCCAGTAGTTAAAGTTTGAACAACTTAATTGTTTACTTTAATGAAGAACTTCAGGTCAACTTCTGAAGCCATAAATGTCTGCAAGAATGTAGGCAACTGGAAAAAAACCCCATGCGTAACAATACAATGTCATGATGCAAAGCATACTCAATAATTGCATTAACATTGCAATATGAGAATGAAAGGATAGAGTTTGCATGGTGAATTCACATTGGACTTTTAATCATTTTGCCATCAATGTAGTTAGGAATGGAAGCCACGCAACCAAATGTTATTTAATGTCAGTTCAAGCTAACAATGCCATCTATTACATTATTGTATAATATTAGTGGCAATATGCCAATTTATGAGACAGAGGGATGACTGTTCCTAAAATGGGAATATCTCTCTTTGGGTTGGTGTGAAATGGAAGACAAAGATTGTACAAACAGTTATGAAATACAGAATGGAGGAAATGCAACAAGATAGAAATGAGGTAACACCGGCACTCTTACATATTTTCAGACTATTCTGATAGTACATCTTTCAATCTTTTGTAGTAATGGATACTTCAGGCTTTAAAAATTATTTACTGAGTTGTACAGCTCATAAGACACTCACAAAAACAAAAAAAGGTAAACATGAAAATTTAGCAAATGGACACTATATCTCTGATAAAACTATTTGCATGAAATGTTGGGAGCAATCAAATAATTGCCTTAATTTTCTGGTGTACATTTAAGATAAGAGACTGGTATCCATCACATTCTACACATGAGCTTCTTTCAAAGCTCTGTCCAGATGACAATATTGGTCATATTTTTTCCTTCTTTCTCCTGACTTCCATGTTTTGATAAAAACTTCTGTTGAAAGACTAAGCACATTCCTGCTTCTTAAGTCATGAGCTATTTATCCAGTATCAGAGCTGGAGACAAAATAACAAACAAAATAATCTGTATTTGAATCTACAGTGCAGTCTTAATGCTCTTATGTAACAACATTTATTAACCCAGTAATATCTACCGATAGAGAAGAGAAAGTGTGTGTGTGTGTGTGTGTGTGTGTGTGTGTGAGAGAGAGAGAGAGAGAGAGAGAGAGAGAGAAAGAGCATGTTCTTTAGTTTCTAAACTAATTTTAGCAGTCATGAGAGAGAAAACACATAGGTGCTTTTTCATTTTGCTTTTCTTTTTGTTGTTGTTGGATTTTTAAGCTGGCCCTTTCCTCACAAGAATCTATTTAAAAAATATAGTAAAGAGTTAAAATGAACAGTATATAAACAGACTTGATTTGCACAATGAATTTTTTCCCCTTCCATTCCTTTACACTTCTCTTGAGTATACCCTCAGTGTGTTGTGAAAATGGCTTCTCCATATGGAATGAAATTGTACAACATAGATGTACTAACTTTTTGGGTTGAGACTTCAAAGTTGAACACAGCTGGTATTTTTATTAATTTTATTTATTTAAGGGATAGTATATTGTTAGGTGTGCAAAAAATGCTCTACAGACTTGTTTTCTGTCAAAATAATGTATTTATAGTTTGCTATTGAAATTCAGTGGAAGTTCTATAAGCAGTGAAAGGGCTGTAAAGGATGGTCACTCTTGAATTGCAAAGAAATAATGAGAATGAATACTGTTGCATTATTTTTATCATCTGCATAGTGGTTTAATATTTGAGTCTAATGGAACATGTGTATGCCCAAACTACGATTTTCAACATAACCTGCTACCCAAGTATTATCAGCTAGATGATCATATTTCTACCATTTATTAATTTTGAGGAATATTGGATGCTGCCACCAAAACTAAGTTTTAGAAATTGGTTTGGACCTTTGTTTTTTAAGCTGTAACTCATAAACTGTGTTTTCATTCCCCAGTGAACAATATTCACCAGATTTAAATTTTAGAAATACCGTTTTGCATTTCCTTATTACTATGATGCAAAATCATATGCTATAACCCTTGGTTTTTAGTAGAGTCCATAGATATTTTAATGACTTATAGATAATCAGGTTAACACAGATATCTTTTTTTTCTAAATAGCAGGAAGTTAGGCATCTAAATAAATATCTTCCCCATCCTTAGAAAAAGATTCAAGTCATAGAAATTGAAAAGCATATCCAAAAGTGTTCTTATTCCTGAATTGGTCTAAAATATTTTAGTACACTCTGAGGCTGTCTTATATTCACAAATGGCATCGGAATTGTAAAAGTGACAGATATTAAGTGGTAAACAAAAAATGGTTAGGAAGCAAGCAACTAATTCTGTAATGAATCTGGAAATCTTTCTAAGAATATCACAAAATGAAGACCTTTATTTTATTACAGTTTTCATTAATTTTTATTTTTTAGGACATATCTAGTCTACCCACCTGTTTGATGATCAAATAGTGAGTATTGTTCATCCACTATTCCAAATACATCTGACCATGATGTCAAAGATTCACACATCGCTGTGTTTGGCAGGAAGTTATTGTGGCTAACAGAGTCCAGCATCATCCTAAAATATTATATATGATTATTCATATCACTTGTTCACCTTCAATTATATGTTTTAATATCATAGTACACATATCTTAGGAACAATAGTGACAGAAACAGAAACCCCCAAATATAGTTTTTACATTTAACAATTATACTGTAAGTAGCGTTGAGCAAAGAAGTCATGCATTTATCCATTCTTAGTAAGATTGGACTAGACTTTTGTCAATTCTTTTTGTTGCTTTGGTCAATCTGCAGTGGACAGTTGATGGCACTATAGAAACAATCAAAAATTTGATTGATGGCAACAAAAAAGGGAACTGTTTTCTCTTAGAGGCATTCTTTCTCAATGGCTACTTTCTCTGCTTTGATACTTCTCCAAATGGTTTCTTATGTAAGATGAAATGCTAAATTCCCTTTGTAGAGATTTTTGTCTCTCAGATTAATATTTAATTAAAAACCTCAGTTTAATAATCATAATTGTTACCTTCTAACAATCCGAAAGAATCTGAGTGTCTTTTCAAGGAGACTTTATCAAGTCCTGCTTGGCAAAAAATGTTCACAAATGGCATAAGCTATTATGCTATTCTCTGTAGAGTTGGCACTTTGTTGTAATTAACACACCTGTGTATTCCAGAAATTAAGATGGCTTTGAAAGGAACACCTTGTGCAGAAAACGGTGAACCAAAATGAATCCACAAAACCTAGCTAATAACTCCTGGCTGAATAGGACAAAGGTGACAACTTTTTCTTTCCTTTTCCACAAATTCTCTGTTGTTGCTAGCATCTAATATTTACATTTTAAAGGTTTGCAGCCATGAGAATAGAATTTTCACTACCAAATTGTATGCGGTAATGTGTATTTTATCATTATCCTATCATCCTCATCGATTTAGTTAATGTTAGTAACACTGTGGTTTGTTTATTTATTTGTTTGTGTCCTACCTTTATTATTTTTACAAATAACTCAAGGCAGTGACTATATTCAACTTACCTTCTTCCCCTTATTTTCCCCACAATAACAACCCCAAGAGAGAGTAATAACTAATGCAGGACAAGAACTCACAGTTTCCTGTTTTCTAGCCAGGTACCTTAACCACTAGACCAAACTGCTTCTCGGTTTAATAAAGTGATCTGTAGAACTAAAGTGGTCTGAATGATCATAAAGTCAATGATATTCTGATCTACTGAAGGTTTGTTTGAATATATGGATAGTCCATAGTGGTGAATCTAAAAGCATCTCCCAAAGATGGAATGGCATCCATCAGTCATTTCTTTCCTGTGGTTGACCACAGGCTTTTATCCAATATGTACTGAATAGCAGGAGAATATCCCAAAACCAAATTGTGGGATTAACTGGCCACAGGAAGTAGGAGAACAATAGAATCATAAAATTATAGATTTGGAAGGGACGAATAGTACATCTAGTTTCAACCTCTGCAAAGTGCAGGAAAACTAACTGAACTATCCATGAAAGATATCTGTCCATTTTCTTCTAAAAAAAAAAAAACTCAAATGAGGGAGAACTTCCGTAGATGAATACCATTGCTAGAAAGTGAAAATTCTAGTGCATGAGTAGAAATCAGCACATAAAACGTACGACAAAAACTTCTAATAAGTTAAACAAATAAATTAAATGATACATATATGTGTATTATTTATGTGGATAAAATGAAATTAAACCTGAATCTATAATTATGTTTTTGTTACATGCTAATAAGGAAAGTGGGGAGAAGAAAAATTAAAAACACTTAATAGTGATATAATTTTCATGTACAGATAATTTTTAGATAAACAAAAAAAGAAATTAATTTAATAAGAGCAGAAAACTTGCTGATACCCACATTTGTAATGTTGGATCCCAACCTTTCTCTACATCTATATCAGATAATCATATACTAGGTTTGACTAATGTAAAAACTTATTGATTTCAGTAAGTTTTTTTGTAAATAAGAATAAACTTAGTACAAACTGTTATTATTTCCCTTTTTAAAATGCAAACATGGAACAGCATCACAAATTGTTTGTGACTGAAACATTAAAAAAATACTCACTGAAACTGTGTAATTATAATGAAATATCTTCCATTTATAGCCTCATCCTTTCCTGTACATTATCAAAGCCCTAATATTTTGTAAACAATACCTCAAATATGGCTAAGAAAGATAACAGGTCACAAGACATTTGAACAAAATAGAAGTAATTGATTGTGTATATGTGTGTGTATATTGGTAAAGGTAAAGGTTCCTCAGTATATGCGTGCTAGTCGTTTATGGCTCTAGGGGGCAGTGCTCATCTCTGTTTCTAAGCTGAAGAGCCAACCAGCACTGTCCAAAGACATCTCCATGGTCATGTGGCCGGCATGACTAAATGGCGAAGGTGCATGGAGTGCTGTTACCTTCCCACCACAGTGGTCACTATTTTTCTACTTGCATTTTTTAGGTGCTTTCAAACTGCTAGGTTGGCAGGATTATATATATAACTGAATTATATATATAACCTAAGCAAAGGATTTTCCTTCTTGATCCTCAATACTTTTTTAAAAGGTAGTTGGAAAAAAGTTAACGATGACTACTGCGTATTCAGAGTAAAAGAGACAAAACAGGTTTACTAACCATGAACTAAAGAAGCATAAAGTTTCTTGCAATTTTTTTTTCACCTTACACTCAGTATTTATTTAAATCCATTGCTTGGAAAACCACTCAGAAAGAAGACAATGAATCAGATCAGAAGTGAAACCGATTACTTACATACATACAGAGTTAATTTATATGAAATGAAGTCATATTCTCTGTAGCTATATCTATGTCCACGTCTATCTGATGACATTTTTTTCTTTTGTGAGAGTTTATTTAGCAGAATTTTAGAAACTAATTTTGAAAAAGTTATAAAAGAAATTAGAATTTTAAAAGGTATAATAATTAATAGCTTATTATATGCTAGAAAAATGACTACAAGGAATTAACAGATGTTAACTGTACTTAATTCAGTCACAGTATTGCAATTTCTTACTGATTTTAATAAATCAACCATATATTTTCAAAATAGTCCATTACATTCATCAGAAAGGGTACACACACACACACACACACACACACACACACACACACGTATATATGTACACACACACACAATTACCAAATTTGTGTGTGTGTGTGTGTGTGTGTGTATACCCAATTACCAAATGATTAATTCTATTAACTTGGCTAATAAAATGTCTTCCAATTTAGTAGGTGGCAACAATTTTGTAAGAAAGATTTAAAGATTTTTAAGTAAGATTTCTTAATAACAACAGCCACTAGAGGCCTCAGAAGTATAATATATATTATACAGCAATGTCCTCTATGCACACTAATCTGATAACTGTTACATTATTCCTCAAAAGTGTCCATATGGCTTTATATTTATTTCTAATTTCAGTTTTTAAAATTTTAAGTAGGGTTATATATTACTCCAGTCATAAACAATTCTGAGCAGTATACACCTCAAATCTCCATAAATTGGGTTTTTTAAAAAAGAAATAATAATAATAATAATAATATACAGCATGTCTATAGCCCCAGCAGCTTTTCTTCATATAACCAAATTTTTTTAAAAAATACTACTAGAATCAATAGTGGGAATAGAGGATTATTTTACAGTTTTGGTATTGATGACATTCTTTATCTTACTGATTTTTGAGAAGTATAAAGAACAAAAACCAAACCCAGCAACTAATAGTTTTAGGAACCAATGTCAAGAGAATATTTATAGTCTAAAGGCACCCAAGGTTTTTTGGTAGAAAAATCTCACTATATTCCATGGAACCTAATAAGTCTCTAAACATTAGATTGAGTGTCACACTCACATTCGCAGACTGCATTTTTCCCATGAGAGAAGGTAATGTTAAGGACTAATACAAAACTGTGCCAATTTACTTCTACAACATACTTCATTCAGCATTGGCAGCACGGGACTTTCCTTCAGAGCCCTTACGAAGAAGTAAATGAAGCTTACGTGCAGCTGGGAGCACTTGTTTTCTTCTCAAGGAAAGGTTAGATCCGAAAGTAATCTTCAAAGCCAAGAGGTTTTCCGGCTCAGTGAGGTGTAAACTGTGAGAAGGGCCACCTGCAGTTCTCTGATATATGGACACTTTCCAGACAGGTCTGTTTGGTTTTTCAGGTTCTTATACACACCCCCTTTTGATGACAATGATAATACAGACTGTGACACAGCTGAAAAGAGGAGAAGTTGCTCTTAAAATTGAGAAGAGTCCAGTTTTGAACATTCACCCATTTGCTAAAAAAAGGAAAAAAACCTCTCTCCTTCCCTGTGTAATTTGGATACAAATTGGGGGTTCCAAATAGACATAATCATCTGATACTTGTTTTGTGTTTTCCTAAAGAAAATGGAATTACTGGGTACGTAATAGTAGATTTTATCTTTTGGGTATATTCTATAAATCAAATTCTAGAAAATTCTAGAAAATTCTTCTAAATATGAGGAATGATGAAAATGCATCTAGAGCTGTGAACCTGAAGACATCATTGGGGTATTTGTAGAACATTGTAGAACATTCTCTGGTGTTCAGTTTTAAGGGTAGCAGGAGTGATATGAGTACAATCTGAACTGCTTTAACTATTAGACTTGGGGAATAATAAACTGTGATTAATAAAACTAAACATTTCTATTTATACAATCCTTCATACATGGTTTTTTAAGCTTGAGAGACCTTATATAGTTTACTTCTAAAAAGCAAATGTAAATGATGGTGTATGGATACTATTTTTGTGGTCAAAATTGATGTAGATTTGCAGCAGGGTGACATAAGTAACATTATAACTCCATTTATAAGATAATTTTATTTTTGTACTCTTGTTAACACTTACCAAAACTGTTGATAAAACTGAATTGACATTGTTATTGAATGAGATCAGGACCTCCAATTTGCTTAAAAATCAAAAACTTAGACTAGCACTCATAATCTGAGGTTTATATTTGTTGTCCTCTAAGTCAGTGATCCCCAACCAGTGGGCCAGGGACCACTGGTGGTCCATGAGAAAATTTTGGTGGTCCACAGAGAAATGACACCCCCAAGGCACCCCCCAAAGCAATTAATCCAGGCTACGCGGGAAGGCTGTGCTGCTCACATGGCCCACAGAAACACACGGCTTTCGTCGCTTGCATTGTGAACAACACAAGGTAGTGAGGGGAGGGGGGAAAGGGCAGAAGAGAGAACTTGCCCCACTCGCCCCAGGTGTCTTGCCTGGCCACCGGGCTGCTTCTTTCCATTCTTTCTTCTTATGCTTTTGGCTGCACGCAAAGAAAGTAGAAAAAGTCTTTCTTTCCTTCCCCCAAACTCTGCCAGAAATGAGTCTTTGGGACCCTGCAAGGCATCCTGCTCCAAGAGGCTGCGCAACAAGTCTTAAAAGACTCATTTCTAGTGGAGTTTGGGGGAGAGAAAGAAAGACTTCTGCTGCTTTCCTTGCATGAAGCCAAAAGTCTCTCCCTCTCTCCCTCCCTCCCCCTGAGAACAGAGCTGGAGATGGTATCCTGCAACTCCAAATAAAGAATGATTGATCGGTAGGAAAACGGGGTGGGGAATTTTCCTGCAGACTTTTTTTGGAATTTTCCCAGGGTCTCTGGTTCATGGGATTTAAAATTATGAGTTTGGTGGTCCTTGAGGTCCAAAAGGTTTGTGATCCCTGCTCTAAATTAATTAATTTATGAGGAGCATGATTACTTGTCATGGAAAGTGGAGACATTTTAGAGTCTGCAGAAACCTCTCTAATTGCTGACTCAGATGTCCAACATACCTCCTGATCCCTGAATTGATTCATCCAAAACACAAATCAGAATATTAGTTGTTATGTCTTGGGAACCGGTTGGGGCTCCAACCGGGTCCGCTCTTTGAGCAGATTCAACAACCGTTCCTATTGGCTGGCGCCGTTTGACAGCCGGCATATAAAAAGCCGGCTGTCAAGCCAAGCCAGCCGTTGTTCGCACGTGAGTCTGCCCGTTCACCGGCAGACGCGACAACCACCGTTCATCAAATAAACATTGTTAACCGTATGCCCTGGTCTAGCCTTTCCTTTCCTTCGAACCACAACACTGGCGATGAAGGTGGGATCGGAAGGCTAGTCAGGAGCATTTCCTCAAGGAACGGAAGCCGCAGCCGTTTGGTTTACCGAGCAAGCCGCAGCCGCTTGGATTACCGAGCATCGGGCTCAGAAGTGAAAGTGCTAGAGCCGCTCAGGTTAGATCTGCCGCGGTTAGCGAAGGCTGGGTGCTGTCAGTAAAAGTTGCAAAGGTTAGAGCACCACAGATAGTGAGAATCGGGCGCTGAAGCCGCAGCCGCCCGCGCGCGCAGAAAAAGGGTGTGAAAATTCTAACGGCTGTCATTGAGCTGCAGCCACTAGAGCAAGCTACGGCGCTGAGAGCCTCAGCCGCCTCAATTACAAAAAGGGCGCAAATTACAATAGAGGTCACTACAGAAGCCACCAAGTGAAATTGCGAGCGCCTCAGCCGCCTCCCCCCCCCCCCAAAAAATAAATAAATAAAAAAGGCTCGAATTTTAAAGCGCTGTCAGTACAGCACCGCAGCCACAGCCGCCTAACGCTCGCAAAAGAGCGCGAAAATTCAAGCGCCTCAGGAAAGCCGAAGTCATTGAGTGAGACTAGGGCACTGTAGCCACAGCCGCCAACGCTCTCAAGCAGCATCAATCCAAGACCACGAGCACCCAGTGAGGCAGACCAGTCTACCAAGAGACTGAGGGGTCCAAAATGAATGTCAATTCAGTATTCCCCCCTTTCAAACCTGATGAGGAAAAGTGGGATTCGTATAAGAATCGCTTCAACCACTTTATCGATGCCATTGGACTGGCTGAAGTTTCGGAGCAGAGGAAGAAATCCTACTTCCTCAGCTACTGTGGGGCTGTAGTATACGACACCGCCACAGCACTCCTGGCCCCACGAGAAATCAGGAATGTCCCATGGGCAGAGTTGGTGGAAACGCTATCCAACCACTACTCACCAAAACCGTCTCAGATTGCTAGGCGCTTCGCCTTTAGGATGAGGAAGCAAGCCGAGGGGGAATCCATAAATCAATATATGGCAGCCCTGAGGACAGCAGCTCTACAATGTGAGTTCAAGAACTATTTGGACGACATGCTGCTCGACCAACTCGTTTGTGGGGTGAGGGATCTAAAACTCCAGAGGCGTTTGCTGGCTAGAAGAGACCTAAACCTCCCCCAGGCAGTTGAAGAAGCCTTAGCTGCAGAACTTGCAACACAGTCCGCAGCTGAGATCCAGGGCACCGCTTCCCGACCCAGCACTTCCTCCGTACACTCTGAAGTAGTGGTAAGTGAGGATGACCCTGCAGAATACTCCGATGTGCATCGCCTCAAGCCAACGAGACAGCCGCAGGTAGGAGCGAGGCCAAGAAACAACAGTGGCCCAAAACAAACTCTTTTATGCCTGACCTGTGGAGGTTCCCATTCCCGGGCATCTTGCAGGTTCAGAAACACCACCTGCCACAACTGCCACAAGAAAGGTCACCTCGCAAGAGTCTGCCAGGCAGCGCGCACCTCTCCACAAAGATCCCCTTCCTCTCCTGTTCCCCGAAGGAAGGTAGAAAAATGCCATACTTGCTACCAAGCCAACCACACACTTTACACCCCCAATAAAATTACACTTTCTGTCTTACTAGAAGGTAATCCCTGCCGCATGGAGGTAGACACGGGGTCAGCGCTCTCAATCATATCTTGGGACACGCTTAAGAAGATCCAGCCCAGACTGACAAAGAACCAGCTGCAAAAGTGCCATCTCACCTTGAGAGACTACCAAGGAAAGAACATCCCCGTCCTCGGGAAAGGCAAGTTTCTCGTGAAATTCCAAACCTTTAAAGGCCATTTGCCTTTAGTGGTTGTTAATGGTACCCTCCCTAGTCTTTTGGGGTTGGATTGGTTCCCCTCTCTCGGCCTTAGTATAAAAGGAGTCCATGCTGTCTCAACTTCTGATGTTGACTCCTTATTTACAGACTTCTCTGACGTTTTTAGTAGTGAGTTAGGCTGCTATAAGGGCACTCCCATCTCCCTCTCAGTAGACCCACAGGCAGTCCCCGTTCGCTTAAAACCACGTAGAGTACCTTTCGCCATCCGCCCCAAATTGGACGCGGAACTAGACAAACTACTAAAACAAGGGGTGATAGAACCCACAGATTTCGCTAAGTGGGAGACCCCAATAGTCACCCCGCTAAAAAAAGATGGTAATCTAAGAATTTGTGCTGACTACAAGACGTCAATCAACCGTTATCTACAGGTTAGCGCATATCCAGTCCCGGTCATTCAGCACCTGTTACACACATTTGAACCTGGCACCATTTTCGCCAAACTGGACATGTCACAGGCATACCAACAGTTCCCCGTGGATAACCAAACAGCTGACTTACAGACCATAGTTACACACAGAGGGGCATTCAGATGTAAGCGTCTCCAGTTTGGCGTAAGTGTAGCCCCAGGTATTTTCCAATCACTGATGGAGCGAATCCTCCAAGGTCTCCCCGGCGTAGTGCCATATTTCGATGACATCTTAGTCACAGCCAGGGACAGACCCCAACTCATCCAGAGAGTCAGGGCAGTATTAGAGAAGTTCAGGCAGCATGGCCTCAAACTAAAACGGGAGAAGTGTACCATCGCCACTAGACAGGTGGACTTTCTAGGCTACAGGCTAGACGCCTCAGGCATCCACCCGGTGGAATCGAAAGTCAAGGCCATCCACGAGGCGCCCACGCCTACCAACAAAACCGAGTTACAAGCCTTCCTGGGGTTATTGAACTTCTACGCTTCGTTTCTCCCACACAAGGCGTCAGTTGCGGAGCCATTGCACAGACTCTTAGACAGAAACACACCATGGCACTGGGGACCCAAAGAAAACCAAGCATTTGTGGCAGTCAAATCTCTACTCACCTCTGAGGCTGTCTTAATACAATTTGACCAACGCCTTCCTTTGGTCCTAGCCGCAGACGCATCCCCTTTTGGGATAGGAGCTGTCTTAAGTCACAGGCTCCCCAATGGCTCCGAGGCACCAATTGCCTTCTTTTCAAGAACCCTTTCAGCGACTGAGCGTAATTACAGCCAGGTTGATAAGGAGGCCTTGGCTGCAGT